CCGTTCCGCCCACCCATCCTCCGCCCCAAGGCCCGTACGGCGTGCTGCCCACGGACACGACCATGGCGTATGTGCGGGAGCACGCGCAGTACATGAAGCGCAAGCTCAACAGCGTGCCCCCGGTGAGGCCACGGGAGCAGCAGCCGCGGGCAGCCCCTCCCTCAGGGCTCCCTTCGGCTCAATCGGCGCGCGGGCCGCGGCGCGCGGCGAGTTTCTCTTTGCAAGGGTTCGCGCCGCGAGCCGCCGCCTCGGCCGCACTCATCCTCCTGGATCGCCGCACCAGCCGCACCCTCACCCCGCGCCCCGCCCCCCACCGCGGCCGCCTCACCTTACACCCCTCTGTGGACCCCCCCCCCTCCACCCATTGCCCCCCGCAGCGCCCCGCGTGCGGCCTGGGCGCGTGGTTTGGCGCCTACAACACGGACACCCAGGAGCGCTCCTGCGTGAACCGCGTGAAGGCGGCGGAGGCCTTTTACGCGCTGGCCAGCGGCGGCCCCCTGGCGGCGGGGGCGTTCACGGAGGAGGACATGAAGCTGGCGCAAGCGCTGCGCGCCAAGAGCACGCTGGTGTTCCCCACGGGTGAGGGCACAGGGTCGTCGTGGGGTGGGGGCCTGCGGTCCACTTGGGCGGGCGCGGGCGCGGTCGCGGCACCCTACAGAGGAAGCTTTGAACCCCGAAGCCGTAGGGGTCGGGAGGGCGCGGGGCCGCCAAGGGCTGGCGCCGCGGGTGGCCTTTGATGGGAGGGGTGTTGGTGGGCGGTGCGGTGTGGTGGTGGGGTGCACCCGACACGCTTCCGCTCACGGCACGCGGCGCGCTGCGCGGACCAACCACGCTTGCAGAGGGCGCGTGCTGCAAGCCCGGCACCGGCGCGCACGAGACGGGCTGCACGGACGTGTAGCGCTGCAGCGAGCGCACGCAGCGGCGGCGGCGGCAGCGGCGGCGGCGGCAGCGGCGGCGGCGGCAGCGGCGGCGCGCAAGCTAGCGGCGCAGCGCCGCGCTCTCAGGCGCGCCTTGGCAGTCGCGGCGCCGGGCCGCCTGAAGCGATTCATGCGATGCGAGACGCATGCGCGCGCGCCCCGCAGCAGTGCTGGGCTAGGCTGTTTGGGGCTTCGCCGGTTCCTGCGACCGCACAGCAGAGTCCCACGGACGATTTCGGAGCGGCTTCGCTCCGGCGCGCGCTCGGCAGCGGCGTTGCGCACCCTGCCGCCCGGCTGTGCCTCTGCGATGCTGGGGGGGTGTGCGCTCCGCTTGCTGCCCCGCGTGCCGCTGCCAGGTGCCGCGTGCCCGCCCGCCGGGCCCGCCGCGCCCCGCACCAAAATAGAGGCAGGTTAGCACTGACGCGGCGTGTGGTGTTCTGTTTCTATCCCGTTTTTGAGTGCTTTCGGGCATGCGCCTGCCGCAGGCCGGCCAGGGCGCGCGGCAACGAATGAGCGAACCACGTTGGTCCCTGCGCGGCCGCATGCGCGGGCCGCCCCCCAAATCCAGAAAGATCTAAAGCCGCGGCCGGCCCCTTGGCGGCCCGGCCGCAGCCCCATTGCGCTCGTGCGGCGCCGCGACACCCCTGTCCCCCTGCAGTCGCGTGGGTCCTGTGGGCAGCAGGGCAGGGCGGCAGCCTCACGCCTCGGCGTCCCGCTTTGTCCAGCGGCTGCGGCCGCTTCGACGCCCCGCCGCGCGCCGACCAGCCCTCTGCCGCGCGCCGGCGGCGGCCGCCGGCGCATGGCAGCGCCACTCTCTCTTTCCCTCTGTATGCATGGCCTGCCAAGGCCCGCTGCCTTCCATTAGTGGGCGCTGGGCCAGAGCGGCGGCTGGCCGCACGCGCGGTGCGGTGGCGCAGCTCATGAATTCCGGCTTCCGCCTTTGGTGTTCGTATGGTCCTCTGTGCTAGCACTGGCCAAAACGTCTTTTGGTGGGCCCCCTTTCTTGAAATGCAAACATGTGCCGACAACACAGTCAGCCCTTTTAGAAGTAAACCGCAGCATGGTCCATTCCTCACGGCGGCGGCCTGCCAGCTTTGCCGGGCGTCCCTAGCGGCCAATATATCTCCCACAAGGAGCATGGCAACTCCAGGAAGGAACGGCAGCCCTGAGGTTGCCCAATGACCATCAGTCAGGATCATGTGGTTACTCGTTGGCGCGCTGAGTGCAAGCAGCGGGCAACCCATGGGCTCGTCACAGCCATGGCAATACTTCCCTGGGGACGCTTTGGTACCTGCACACACAAAGCAGGCATGCGAGCGCTCCCGTCATAGCCAGAACAGGACATCCAAGCACTTGCGCGTGGTGCCGCCCGCGTCAAGCCGCACGTGCAGCGGTCAAATAGTCAGAGCGCATCTGGTCAAAACGTCAGTCAAAAGGTTTCGTCCCTCCCTCTCAGATTTGATCCTGAAACCTATCCGCAGGCCCGGTCGGCCCAGATATAAAAGGAGTATCCAAAGCAAAACAGCCGCCTCAGACTGGATGTCAAGTGTGAGCACCGAGGCGCTGGCATGCAGCACACCGGCCGCGCCTCAAGGCGCTGAACGACAGCAGCCCCCCCCGCCCCTGTCCCCCTTCCGTGTGTACAAACACCCCCGCCCACTCCCCACCGCAACGCTGCCCGTCAAGTCGCATAACAATCCTGACCGCTTGCCCCTGCCTTAGCAAGTCGACGCAGCCGCCAACTTCCGGAGCTGCTGCGTTCTGCATGCACACACACGCATGTATGAACTTTGAGCGCTCCCGACCCGTCAGACAGGCAGCAGCACATGCAGCGGCAGGCCCCCGTCCGCATGGCCCCGCCGCCCCGCCGGCCCCCCGGACGTGGCCAGCGCCCCCCTCACATCCTCAATCAGCTTCTCGGCGGCCGCCAGCTTCTCGGCGGCTTCCTCGTAGCCGGCCCAGCCGCCGGGGGCGCCCTCAGTCCCGGGCTCGTCGCGGCCGCCGCGGAGGTGCGGGGCGGGCGCGTGGTGCTGGGCCCATGACGTCATCTGGTCGCTTAGGTGGGATATAGCACCCTTAAGCGTTTCTGCTGCGTGTGCCAGCCCCTCCGCGCCCTCAAGAACAGCGCCCTCTGCAGCAGACGCCGCGCCCTGCGCCGCGCCCTGCGCGCCCCGCGCCGTGCGCCGCGCGGCGCCCGCAGCGCGCGCT